GCAGGTGGCCCGGCGGAGAGGGGCTCCCTGCAGCAGTCCACCCCAAAAGTTTTTCCCAAACTCGCGGCGAGGGCCGAAGAGATCGAGCGGCGGTGACAGCAAACCCCCTCTCTCGCCTCCGGCGCCCTGCCCCCTCCACGCTCTCTGCCCTCCCACAGTCCAAGGTCCGAGTACCCCCCTGCTCCGGCTCCCGCCCCCGCTGCCCGGTCTTCCAGTTCGTCGGGGACCAGCGGCCGAGAGCAAACTTTAGCCGCCGGCGGCAGCGCAAGCCCGGCCCCTCGGCCTCCTCCTCTGGCTCCCGCCCTCCGCTGGTCTGCCCAGACCTACGTGACTGCAGTGGGTGGGCAGAGCCCGCGTGAGCGGAGAGGCTCTATCCTGGTGCCCTCCCACCTAGCGCGCGCCCCCTGTCCCTTCACGTACCAGGACAGAGGGGGAAACGCGCGCCCTGTGCCCAAGGACCCGCGTGGGGTACCGATCCCCACGCGCGCGCTCGCACGCACGTCGCCAGCAGGGAGAGGCGCTCGCAGCGGCCCGCGGCGCCAGGCGGGCACGGTCGCTTACCTTGGCATGGTGGAGGTAGAGCAGCAAGGCAAGGCTCCAGTGCACCCAAGAGAGCAGAAAGTTCATGGTTTCTGAGGCCCGGCCGGGGCCGGCGCTGCTCGCGCTCGCTCTCCTCTTCAGGCTGCGGGGCTGCCCGCTCTCCTCCGCTCCCAGGCGGGCTCCTCTTGCTCCCGGAGCTGAGGCCCGGGCCAGGGCCTGCGGCGCGCGCGCGGCTAGAGCACTGTCTGCGCACACAGCCGCCTCACCCGTCCATGAGCCCGGCTTGCGAGCGCCCAGTCGCCACCTCGGCCCCCTCTCCTCTTCCTTCTCTTCTTCCTCCTCCCCCTCCTCCGACTGCGGCTCCCCGCGGCCCGAGCTAGCACTTCTCCCGGGTCCACTCGGCTCGGCTGCCCCTGCGCGGACCACGGCTCCTCCGGATCGAGAACAGCCCAGAAGTTGGACGAAAAGTTTCAATGCAACGCCGCGAGCCCCGACCCCCTCCACCCCGCCTCCGGGCGCGGGCTCCGGCTCCTGCCCGCGGCTCGCCGCCGCGTCCACCGTCGGCCGCCCGCCGGGGAAGAGGTGGGCGCTGAGGCGGGGGGGGGGCGGTGTCTGTCTGCCCGTCACTCTGCTGGCCCGTTGCGGGATCCCGCGGGGGAGGGCTCACGCTGCGCTCTGGCGGTCACCCCCAAAAGCAGGTCACTCACTTTGCCCCTGTCCCTCTCGTCGCTCGCTCGCCCGCGCGCGCTCTCTGACCCCGTCTCTCTCTCTTCCTCGACTTCTCTCGGAAGCTCTTGCTACCTCTTTCTTCTCTGCTGCTTTCCAAAATCCGAAGTGATTTGGGAGCGTAAAGGAGCAGTCTCCCCAAACGGTCAGCCCGCTTCAAGCAGGGAGTGGGAGGCCAAAATAAATTAAAACGGGAGAGAATACGGTCTTTTAAATGTTTAAGGAAAAAAGGAGGAGGGTAAACCCTGGATAAACGAGTATCAGATTCCAGTGCGGAGTCCCCTGCCTGGTGACCCCGCCGGTCCGTCTCCTTGCCGCTGCGACTCGCGAACGAGCGCCGCTGCCGCCAGCTCCACTCGCCCCCGGCGCTGCGGCCTCTTGCTGCCCAAGTGTCGGAGCCGTATTAACCAAGACTAGGGGAAAAAAGCCTCCTTTAGCCCCGCCCCGGCCCCGCCCCGGCCCGCCCCGGCCCGCCTCCGGGCTTGGGGCTCGCTGCTGGCGAACTGGAAGGGGGGGTCTCGCTGCTGGGCCGAAGGTGGCGGACAGAGACGGGGTAGGAGAGAAACACACAGATATATTGGAATCCTGGGGTGACCCCTGGCTTTTACCCCCGCAACAGTCTCAGCCACCACCGCCGCAGGTTGGCTTACAAGCGTGCTGCCTCCGGCTGGCAGCGGCTGCCCACCCAGGGCCGTCTCCTTGTGGTGGCTGAGCGCCCCCTAGTGACTCTCGTCGGACTAGCTCAACAGGGAATGGACCGCAGGAGGTTGGCGAGGCTTTACCCCCGAGCCCCCCACTTCTGACCTCTCACAAATAGTGACATGTTTGGGACTGGAGTGGCCCCATATGCCACTCCAGGGGGTGATAGGTGCAGGGGCCACCGTGTCTCTATTTAGACAATGTGTCCGTCTGTAACCCTCATCTGACCTGCTGGCATCAGAATAAACCACCACCAACAGACTGGGGTCACTGGGGTCCTTTTGGAAGTGCCTACAGAGGCTTTCCGAGCAAGAAATATTTGGCACCAAGTTTTTGGAACTGAGAATGAGAGGCTGTGTGGTTCTGGGGTTAGTCAGTGACCTCCAGGGAAGAGGACCTGTTGAAGCCCACGTATGCACTGTGGAGTCTGGCAAAGCCCAAAGGGAGAGGCCGCTGGGAGACAGAAGCCCTTGTTTCTGCTACCCACCCCCCCCCCCAGATGTTGCCAGGGAACTGAGGCCAGGAGGGCTAGTGGGGGCGGATGGAGGCCAGGGCCTGAGTGATGATTCAAACGTACTCACCAGCACGGAGTCTGTCGGCCAGCTGCCCAGAGGTCCCACCAGGCTGGGGGCCAGCGCTTCTATCAGCCCTGGCCTGGGCTCACAGCTCATCTTCTGAACAGAATATGAACCACCTCAGCAACCCCCAGGCCTCAGATCCCTTGCCTTTCTCCTAGACATCTACTCTCCTCTCTTCCCCTGGTCTGCTCCCTTTCTTAAAAGCCCTCCTGTCCCCCATTCCCTTTATATTTACCCTAAGTATTCCCCAAGGTACCCCACTCTACCCTTACAATAACCAGCCTGGAAAAACTCCTGGTTGGGCTTTGACTCAGTGGCTCCCAGTGCCCCCCAGGGAACAAAGTGGGGACCCTGCTACCTATGGGAATAAAGGGACCAAGGAGTCTAGTTATTCCTACAGATCTGGCCAGGACCTGGCCTGGGGCTAATGCAGCCTCGGTGAAGGCCTACCGTGAGAATGGGAGTGAGGCAACTTTTCCCAGCTTGACCATAAAAAAAAAAATCCAAGAAGGATATTCAGCCAGCTCCCTGCCTCATACACGATGCTATAGTTTGGTGGTGTTCTAGGTGACCCCTTTAGAACCCAATTCCATGGAAGTGGTAACTCCAGGCACTGAGAGCCTGAGGAGCTGGCTCCCTCTACTCTAGCCTATGTTCCCTATCATTCAGGCCTCCAGTCCTGTCTCCACCACCTGGCAGGCTCCCCGGCAACAGGGACAAGGTCTTTTTACAGTTAGTAAATGTTTATTTGCTGGCTCAGGGCCCCCTCTCAGACAGGCCTCCTCATCTAGGCTGCAGGCTCCATCCAGGCTGCCCTGTAGGGTACGAAAGGGAAGCCACTAAACTTCCTTGCATTTACCTAGAGTTCCCCAAGCCCCCCATCCCAGCCCTGGCATCTAGGAGGCAATCCTGATACCTGTGGGAAGTGAGGAGACAATTGGTCTCATTATCCATCCAAATCTAATTACTCATCCAAAGTGGTTTATTCTTGCACCCTCTGAGCACACAATCTGGGTGCCTTCACAAGGGTCCTCCCTCATCCCTATTAGGGGCAAGCAGAGCAAGACAGAAGCTTCCCACCCTGAAGATGGGAAGAGAAAGGAGTTCCAAGGCAAGGAGAGGTGGTCACGGAGTATCACTTACTCCCCCCAGGACTCTCTGACCTGAGCCAACCACTCCCTGCCTGGTATTTAGTCTGCATGTGACTATGAACTATGTGAGGCCCTGTGTTCCTGTCTCTTTCTTGTTCCTTTCTTAGGTGCGCTGGGCTCTCAGTTCCACGGAGCTCCTCTGTGGCCTCTGCCCCCCTGGTTCCCTACCAGGAGAATAAGAGCAGCATTGCAGCCTAGCGTAAGGGGGCTTTGAGCAAACTTCATTAAGGTAAGGGCAGGTCTCCACCTCCACCCTTCATTTCAGAGAGGCCGCTTGGCGGTGGCTTGGGGAAGGGAGGGACCCTTAGATTCCGTCGTCCAATATGGTGTCACCAGTTATCACAACAGTACACTGTTGTGGCCAAGCCAATGCCCACATTACCATGGACTGAGAGCCCAGCGCACCTAGGAAGGGAACAAGAAAGCGATCAAGAACACGGGGCCAGGCCTCCCTGGAGACAGCGCAGTACTATGAGGCTCTCCACAGCCACTGCACACGAGTTTGATCCCCAGTCAGGTTGCTGACCCACATGGCGCGGCAGACCTCTCCTGGGTTGCCGGCTGCTCCCCTCAGCAGTGTATTTCAGCAGATCTGCCTGTTCTGCTCTCCACTCTGTCATGGTGAATCCGCTCACCTCCCACACCTCTGGCCTGTACCCCACTTCTTGTGTGCATAAATTAATAAGTCATTAAAGAAAAGAACACAGGACCACATCACATCTCCACTGCACCTTCTCTTCCCTGAGGCTGAATCACCACACACAAATGTGATTCCTCTTATTCTCCCTCCAAAGGTCGCTGCAGGGCAGGGAGTCTCAGAACAAACTGTCTGCCTGAGAATCCCAAGGACAGAGGTACCTAAGATCACCCAGGCACATGGGAGGGCTTGGGGGAGCAGGTACAGAACATCCAGACAAAGATCATGCTGGATTCCTTGAGGGACAACCTCAGCCCTCCTCAGAGGGACAAACTCAGGGCTGGGGAGGCCACAGCCTGTGGCTCTGAAGTGGTTCAGAAGGAGCCAAGGAGGAAAGGGTAAGTGTTCCAGGTGAGGAGGAATGGGGGGCGGGGGGGGGACAGGTGCATGGAGAAGAGAGAGCGTGAAAGGTGGCCAGGAGCCAGCAGCAACCCCAGACAAAGGAGGCAGTGATTGGCCCAGGGCGGAGGAGTCTTCCCTCTGCCTGACTGTCCTGTCACTCTAATTTTCAGGACACTCTCACCTGCGTGGGTGTGGGCAGCCAACTCCAAGCCATGGATGAGGGGCAGAGCCCCTCCCAAGTGGGAGAGTGAAGAGAGATTCCCTGGTCTTGCTTGTTTAGCTATTTCTCCAAGGAGTTTGGCCATGATAGAAGACAAGTCTTCTCCCTCAGTCCATTCCCCAGCCCCCAAGTGTCTGCAGAACCCAGAGCTGACCTTCAGGAAGGCAGGAATACAAACCCATCAGTCTGCTGAATTGAATGAAAGAGAAGTGGCGTGGTCCTCTCAACCCTCTGCCTGACTGTTGGTCAGTCTCCCTTCCTCCCACTGGTCTTCCATATCTCTAGGTCTTTGGAACAGAAAGACAAAGCAAAAGCAAGGAAGTGAACCTCTGTGTAGTGCCAAAATCACATCTCCGTGTGGATGTGGAGGTTTGACTTAAAGTTATGATTGGCAGTCACGTCGATTGAAGCAAAGGAACCCCAGTCTGCGGAAAGAGAGAGAAGGGGGGGGCAAGCAGGAGAGGGGGCAGAGTCACTGTCTGGGGGAGCAGACAAATTCCTAGGCCCCATCAGCCAAGTGTCTGCCTCTTTTTCCTGGACCTGAATTGAATCCCCCAACACTAGACTGTCTCCCTCCATTACCCCAGGCCTGTCCAATTTGCTGGACACCCAGGTCTTTGCTCCCTCCCATGTCTAACTTCCTTCCAGACCATTCCTGCCCTTGTTCACACCCTGCCTAGGGTTAGAGGGAGTCCCTCTGCTGGCAAGAAGGTGGTAGCATAAGGGAGCAGTTAAGGGCCGCAAATTGTCTTCTCCCTCCCAACCCGGGGCCCAGGTTTTTCCCAGGCCTACTGGGCACCAGGCCCTGCACTGATATTATAGGAGATACAGGGACGCCTACGCAGGGCAGTGGGAAGTTCAGGGCCTTTGGAGCCCAGTAGACATGGCACTCACGGCCCTGTGCCTCTTTAACTGGGGACCTTAGCAAGCTTCTCTGGTCTATAAAAGAGAAATGAAAATGCCTTCTTTTCAGAGCTGCTGCAGGCAGACAGATGTGCACACAACTTCCCAGACAGCAAAAAGAGGGAAGGCCGTGGGAGACAGTGTTATGAAGGCAGACTGAGGCCAGACTGGCTAGAACAGGGATCAGAAGAGCTTTCTACAGAGACGGCAAGAAATCCTCACAAGCAAGTGTTAAACTCAGCCCAGGGGCCCTGCTTGGGGTGGGCCCTTCCAATGTGGAAGGGGCTTCCTGTCTGGAGGAGAACCAAAAAATAAGCTGGAAAAAAAATCTCAGGGTTGGGGGAGGTGCAGGGAAGCACAGGGTTGCTGGACTAGAAGGCTTCCTGGAGGAGGTGACTTAGTCTTGATGGAGGAGCAGGGGTTACCCGCTGAGTGGAACAGGGTTAGAAACTCTACAGGCACACACAGTTCCTCCAAGGCTCCTCTGGGTGATGAAGACTTTGAAGCGAGGCAGTTCAGGGGATTAGGGTCTTCTCCAGGCCAAAGCCCACAGGGACAATGCCGTTCTCTTAGCACATAAGCCCTCACATGGGTTTCTCCGCCCTCTGGGACAGCATGTCTCTTCCAGAGCATTTAAACAAACAAGCGGGTACTAGAGGTAGGTCCAGCTGCACTGCTGTTGTTTGCCCCCAGGGGCAAGAGGAGGACAGAGGACACGGCCTCCCACAAGCACCCAGCCACTTCCGAGGGGCGGCCACAGAGCCCTACCCCCACCAGCCCCACCAGGTATGCAGAGTCCTCCTGTCAGCCCACCACACTGTACAGGGCAAAACATGGAGTCTGTTGCATGCTGTGTGACCTTGGCCAAGTCAGTCCCCCTTTCTGGGCCTCAGACTCCCTCCTAGTAAAAGCAGTAGTAAAAATCAACTGCGATCCCTAATACAAAAGATCACCTCCTCCAGGGATCTCTGTGTTTTTTAAGGCTCCTGAAAAGGGCAATGCTTAACTCCAAGATACTCAGCACAAGGGCCAAGTGGTGGAGAAGAAAACCTCAGATCCCAACTGCTTCCCCTCTTACCTGGGAAGCCAGAACCTCTCTTTTCTCTGAAGAGACACAGATTTGGTGAGCCCTCCCTCCTTGCACAAAGCCTGCCGCCAACATCTCTCCTACCTCACCCCTCCACCCCCATGGCATGGAGGGCTCAGTCTTGGATCACCACTTCCAAGCTGTGAGGCTTTGACCAGTCGTTTCACCTGTCAGAGCCTCGGTTTCCTCATCTGTAAAATAGGAGTGGTAGTTACCTACCAGGAATTTAGGGAAATTTATGAACACGAGGACGACAAAATGTCTGGCCTAGAGTAAGCGTCACATACAAGTGACTTCTTTCCTTCCCTTTCTCTTTCCCCTACCCCCATTAGTGAGCAAACTCATGGAGAATGCAAACCCACTATCATCTGGCTAAAGTCAAGCAGAAAGGAATAAGGAAATGGGTTTATCCCATCCCCCATGAGGGGGAAAAAAAGAAAGAAATCACACAATGCATGCCAAAGATGACTGGGGTGGGGGTATGTTTTCTTGGTTCCTGCTTTAGCCTTTCCTTGGAGCAATTGTTTCGCTAGGCTGTCACTGAGCTGGCTCTACAAAGTGGGTGTCCTCATACAAACCCTAAGGAAAAAAAAAAGAGGCAGGATCTAAAGTGCTCCTCACCTTGCAAAAAAGAAGGGTCCCTTTCTTCGTCCCCCAGTGACTCCCTGGGCCTGGAGCGGAAGCCTGGCCCAT